AATTCAACCAAATTTCTCTGCAGTAAAAACATACTGCAACCTTTGGAGGAATTATGACGACATTCAAGATTCTTGGACGTCTGTCGAAAATATAATTGACTATTACGGAAATAATCAAGACTTAATAGCACCAAACGCGGGACCTGGACATTGGAATGATCCAGACATGGTAAAGTACATTAATTAAATGTTATTTTAAATCACTTTAGCCATTACATTACTATTACCCATTATTAACAACAAATAATTGCAGGAATACAATTCACAATTTATACCTAATAGCTTCATAACCGTTGACTTTCATTGCAGTTGATTATTGGAAACTTTGGACTAAGCTATGAGCAAGCAAAAACACAATTCGCAATCTGGTCTATTTTGGCTGCTCCACTTTTAATGTCTGTGGACTTGAGAACTATTCGGCCACAGTTTAAGCGTATTTTGCAAAATCGAAAAATAATTGCTGTGGACCAGGATCCACTGGGCATTCAAGGACGAAGAATTTACAAACATAAAGGAATTGAAATTTGGTCAAAGCCCATCGGTCCACTCTATGAAAACTTCTACTCCTATGCCATCGCTTTTATCAATAGAAGATCTGACGGTACGCCATCAGATATATCGGTTACCTTAAAAGAATTAGGACTTATCAATTTCAATGGCTATCGAGTAGAGGTAAGTCAACATTATACATGACTTCATTTTTTTATTTTAGTCCTTTTACTCAAATATTTATTTATGGACTAAGATAGTAACATTACATTAAAGGTAAACACGCTAAGAAAAAAAGCGTAGAGCTTAGTTTGACCTACAGAAAAGTAATCGGATAGTCCGGAAAGTGCAGGTACATAGATCTGGTTGGAACCGCAAGGTCAATGTGTCCCAAAAGAGTTTAGGAATTTATGATAATCATATTCTGCGATAGAGCAATGCAAGAAGGTCCATGAGTTCTAGACTTGATCGATATGTTGAAAAGAGTCTACCAAAGTCTCTCTTGAGATTACGAAGGGCGACAACGACCTAAAACTATTTTTTATAATAGAGAGATCTTCTAGATATTCTGAGCAAACCTTTATAATGTCTAATGAATTGGGAACATTTTTATAATACCGAACGACTTTATCTAGATTGTATTTTTATTGTAAGATTAACATTGTATTTAAATTTTAAACATTTAAATAATTTTTTTTTAGGACCTCTATGAGAATGTGGACTATGGCGTCTTATACCCTAATACTAAGATAAAAGTAAAAGTGAATCCCTCTGGAGTTGTTATGCTGAAAGGAGAAGTTCAGTTTCCCAATTAGATGTAGTCTTTATTGTCAAACAAAACAGTTATAGCTGTATATAATAAAATACCTGCCACGATTTCATTGATCCTGTTTTCAATTTAAGCTTAAATTATAAATACCTGCACTAAGAGTTTAGCTACTTTGTGTAGGCTTATCCACTACGGTCCAGCTATGACGTACTGTTAGCGCTCGCTCTTATCCAACCAAGCGAATTGTAGCCACGAAGGATAGGGATAAGCCGGCCTCTCTTGCAGGGAAAAATACGAATAAAGAAATCATAATCAGCAGCATACACCTGTTCTCCCGCTAAACATGCCTTGTCCTAATCCCTTCCTCCCTATCTTTCTGAGACAGTCGTCGGCACCGTACGCGGAAAGCTGTGGGTTCAATTCTTACCCTCCTGTATAAATATAGTGCCGTGAAGTTGAGGAGAAGCGGAAGTGAGCGAGGAGCAGGAGCAGTGAGTAGTGGAAGTAAAATAGTGCCCCGTAGGTCTGACCAATAAGGTCATATATCCTCAAAGTCTGCAAAGGAGAACGCATCCTCAGAACCCCCTGGGACCACCAGCGGGTATCCAAATCTACCTCGCGCAAGCAACTATGCAGGCAGCCATCGGGAGCAAACGGCAGACAGCCAGCATCATAACTTTTGACCCTTCGACGGCGCGTACTACCCACGCGCCGAGAAAAGCGGCATCATCGCATTTACTGGCAAGCAATAGACACCAGGAAAAGGGCTGTGTCAGCCCCACACAGCCCAAGTTTGGACTAATGTTCGGTGGCCACACGGACCCATTCGAGTTCATCGGGCGGGACCAGCTCGATGAGCTGTGACTGTCCGGAACCACGATTCCCCTCGCACAACTAACTAACCTACCACGAGCGTCGTCGTTCTTATCGAAAGGATCAATGACACCACGAAGCTCCCGCTGATGCAAGCCGGGTGATAAACCAGGAAAAAAAACCGACCAGTGGATGAACAACGGTCCTACCGGAAATGTGGAGAGGAAGTGCATTTCAGCAGCTCATGTCCCAAACGACAGAAACTGTTCTGCTGGGAATGTGGTCGCTCGGGTGTCAACTGCTGCCGAAAGGTCGAATCTCCGTCCAACTGGGACATGGGCGGACACTCTTTTTATCATACAATAAAGATAAAGAATAGTAAACCGATGATATAATATAATAATATGGCCCGTAGGTTGCTGCCGCTCCGTGTGGGCTTACGGTTCGTACGGAGCCGGTCTCTGACGCTCCGGCACGCCACCGACATACCAATCTGATACAAAATAGAGTCGTCATCCAGGGTGCGTGAAACGGCCACAATGACTCCACCTCCTCTGCAGCGATTTTTTTTCCACGACCTCTGTCCTGACGCAACACAAGGAAATTGGCTCAAATGCGACCATGCGAATAGGCTGGGTACCCACACGGTACCAAAACGAATCTTAATTGCAAAGGTAAAATAGATAGATTACCTATTGATGCATTATCATTAATTTGACAGTATTACCAGGAAAATTTAGCTTGTGCCTTCTTTAAAAATCATATATGCTTAACAAAACCTTAAATTTGGGTCGTAAATAATTGGTCAGGGCCACAACACTTTTTTTTTTCGTCCTAACAGCTGACGCAGTCCAATTTGGTTATCGGAACGTTGGCAAGAAACATTTTTGCGCATAACGCACAGACCGTGCTTGTAGCATGCTGTTTTCCGTCATATTTAAATCAAAATGTAGGTGCTAAAAATCGATCTTTCGACCATGAGCAGTTTCATTTTCAATATGCATGTTGTTACTCACAGCTCGTCAGACATGTTCTATAAACAGGTGTTGAATCTAAAATGTCTTGATCTTCTTAAATCGCGGACTTTCTGTCGTCCTTTTGCTCTAGAACAAGCAATTTAAATTAGAATGCCATTTTATTCACGTTTTATATTTGCGAAGCAACCAGGTCAGCTGTTTTTGCTTGCCAGAAACGATGAGAAAATGAAACACATCGATAGCAAACATTTGTGGAAACTGGAGACCCTTAAAACGAAATCGAAACGTTTTGGCTGAAAACTTAGTCCGCAAAAGTAAGTGAAAATAGGAGCCTACCTGATTAGGTTCAACATTCAATGATAAGCGTAATCTGTAACTTCCTACAACTAATTTTCGGCCACTTTCCAATTCTAAGAAGTTAATGCCAAGTTGATACGTTTCGACAATTCGTATCCCCGGATTAAATAATATAAAGTTAGAGTTACTTCTCACTATTCAGGGAGATTTTATTTATTAAATTCGGAATGGAAGATAGTTACATTCAAGTAGAATAACTTAAAAAAAATAATTGAAAATATAAAAAAGCACCAATATCTTGGAAAGTGTATAATTTTCTTAACTCTTGTCTCCTTTTTTGGATTCAGCGTGTAACTGAGTGAGAAATGAGAGTCAATTCTCATGGATCGGAATTTAATTTAAATTTGCAATTATACATAAAATTAAAACAACAGCAAAGGCCAACAAAACTTCAAAAAACTAATGATTATTATGAATACAAATAGAATTACAAATTTTGGTGGATATGCAAAGTCTACTAGTAAATGTAATTCTTCTGAGCGGCTTTGGTAGGGCATGATTTTTTCGGTTACGAAACTAAAAATATAACCAATATTTTCGATACCATTGAATGAAAAGAATCTTAAATTAAACGAAAGAGCAGACATATGTAAATATCTTTTACCCATCATCTATAAATATTTTGGATATCAGGGCTGTTGGTTATAAATAAAATTACTCGGGAAATGGCGCCTAAGCGGTTTTAGAATTTTCTAAAAGAATTATGGGTTACAACAATTAAGAAAATACAAAATTATTGCAAATAAATTAAAAAATTATAATTAACCCATTTTGAAAGTTTTTAAAAGAATTTTCACATATTTGAACATTTGCTTCAATTACAGTACGCACCTTTTTGTGGAAAAGACTATTTCCTTTTACGACTTCCAAACGGATTATCACATTTTAAAGCCTATAAGCCAAAACTCCTCCCACATTTGAAATTTTACTTTAATTGATTACTCGTTTCGTTGCCGCCTAATGGATAAACTGGTTTTATTTTGGAACGGCCATAACCAATAATAGTAAAGTGTGCTCAAATCGCCCGGGGTGCAACCACTTTGAAAACACAGGGGATGATGTGCAGACCAATGGGAGCAACTTAAAATATCGCCAGGGCAGGGCTCGCTAGTGTTACGAGTCGTAGGTACATTGTACTGGGGGTTGAATTGTAAGTGTTCGCGATAAAGAGAGAGCAATTTTCAATTTGCATTGAGGTGTGTATATTTAAGCTCATAGATCCTAGAGTAACAATTATGGCGTAAACAAATTCTAAATAATAAATCATGACTACTGTGTAACTAAAATACGTGTACATTTATTTAGGTTTAGGAGAAAAAGTTGTATTATTTACAGGTTAATAGCACTCATAACTTTCTCGTAATGTAATCCGAATGACGGGCTAAGGAGTAACCTAATGACATGCGCAGACGTAAAGAGCGAGGTGGAGTTTCATGCTATTGTGATTAGGCACTCCAAAAGCTATTGGCGTTGCTTGTAAAATAGTCGGAAACTTAGTTTCGATACAGCAACTTAAGCTAGGCCATATAAAATATATACAGACTCTAAAATCAGTGACTAACAGCGTTTGCACGAGCCGGTGCTACTCCACAGCTATGGAGAAATTGGCACAATTTGTAACCAAATCTTTTGAATATAATTTAACCAACAACCGCGTTCATGACTTGTTTACCTCAATGACAGGCGTGCGAATTCAAAAACAATCGGAAACCACAAATTCCATCCTCGTAAATTCCAATAGTTCAGGCGAAAGTTATACCGATAACTGCACCAGTGACGACGAAACTGTAGATATTGATATAACTGATATCTCTATTTCGGAAAATACAGAAAACACAGAAAACACAGTTGGAGATGAACACAAACCATCTCCTAAGGATGCTACGTTCAGAAAACACTGTTCAAGCCAGAGTACACTTCAGTCAAATGTGTCGAAGCCAAGAAACTGGCTAATATCCGAGGATTTGCAGACGGAAACCAGGTCAGGAGGTAAAAAAGAAAACATATGTATGAACAAACCAAATCTCGCCATGGAATATAGTTGATTTTTTCAAATAGTGCCTTAAATGTAGTCTTAAATGTGAACTTATAATGTCGCCTTGTGATAAGCATTTACCTATCTATTAGGGTAGCGAATGATTTGAGTGCGCTCGACAGCAAGACCCTGGTCTGCATCAGATTCTAATTTTTTGCCCACTCTTGTAAATCATCTTTAAAAAATAGGACACTTTTTTGTGTGTTTCATTTACACGAATTTATTATCCTCCTGTAGTCTTTGAGCATCGGGTATAGGTATGTAGACTTATGCGGTGTGCGACATTTGAAAAATAAATATACAGCCATGCTCCGGCTATCGCAAATCGCAAGTCCAATCGTAAAAATGTGTGCTCCGGTTTTCTCAAATTGTAAGATTCTTACAATGCAAATGCGGCGGCTAATGAGCTTCCGATTTCAAAAATTTAAACATATTAACTGATATTTTAATTTTGTATTTATACAGTACATTTTCTGAAAAGCTAATGGATATATACAGTTTGGAAAATATTAAGACCAGATAATTATTTTGTAGAAAAAAACATTTTTTTTTTCGTTTTTGAGGTGAAGTTACGAAATACGAGTCACTATTCAATATTTTAGTTTGGGTCGAATTAATCCCTTTTCTTACCGCCCAATGCAAATTATTGAAGAGTTTTTCACAGCACTGTTGCGGAAGTATCTCTAAAACAAGTCCTCATTAGCGTCTTTTGGCGTCGAAGAAACGTTGACCACTCAATTTTGTTTATAACTGGAAAAAAAAGATCCCATTAGATGTGAGAAAATATCTGCAAGGCAGATTACACTTTGATTCCATATTTTGGGTGGTCAAAAAATGTGTTGAGTGATTTTTTGAGTTGAGTAAAGTGCGATCCGTATTGGAAGCTGGTTTTCCTAATTTTTAAAACAACTTCCGACCAACTTTCGAGCCTCTCTATGACCGATTTTTAAATTGTGTAGGAAACAACGCAAACACACATTTTTTAGCAAGAGGTGATCATGGCAATTCTTTTTGATGGACGTCATACTAATGTCCAAGGATGACTATTTTTTCAATTATTTCGCTCACAGCATCACAGCATGACCATTGGGTCTTGATAAGGCTAAACGGGTCATAGGCCAGAAACTTAAAATTTAAGTTTTTCTGCATATGATTCTGCACGCTGATTGCACACAGGATAATCGTCGTATTGCACTAGAATGTAGATCAATATTTTAGGATTCATTCACAAAGCATTTTCTATTGTCCATTTCTCAGTCATGAAAAGCATTTTGGCATCGTATATTTGGACGTCATTTGCAAGTAAATGCAGTTCACATACTGACAAGACTGATAATTATGTAGATCATTAGCATCTATTGAGAAATGTTAAAAATGTAACCCAGTGGTCGAGTTGCTGTTGAATATTTTCTGCAGAACCCCTTGTAGCACGCAAGAAGTCTAATACGATTTTAGAGAAACAAACTGCAGATTTATCAAGAGGTGGATTCCAATTGGGGTGTTTAAAGGTGCTGGTATTCTTAGGAATCTCATTAGAAGTTGTACACTGGCAGCGATATCCCCCACCGTTAGCATCAGTTTCGGTAGCCAACTGATCAACTTTTATTCTCGTGTTCGAATCAGGCAGGCACTCATAAAGTCTCTCGCAAAGTCAAAAATCTTTCTCCAACGGCTGCGCAATTGGAAGTAGTCTTGGCTTGAAGGCCTTCATCGGCATTTCCGAACTCCGCATATATGGATAAGCTTGTGGCAGATTCTTCGTGTGATCATCAAATACTTTCCGAAGATTGCTTGTATTAAAAAACCACACATTTCGACTTTTTATGATTTACGGAATGCATTTTATTACTAGTACAGGCACACACTGGACCTTTCTGCCAGTTCACTGGAAGATCATTAGGATATATGGATAACAATAAAGGGCCTAACACTGTATCGTTGCATATCCGAATGTTAGAGGCTGGCGTAGTAAACTCAGCAATTCGCTCCGCAATAGCCTTGCACGTTTATCCAGCGTTATACGAAAGAGAGAACACGAATTATGTACATATAGAAAATCACTAGTGGGTATCCCACCAAAGAGTCAAGTTTTTAAATTCTCTGATGTCGTACAGGGAATCACAGTCCGAGCATAAAACCCTAAGTGGTTCGAAGCAACGGTGTAATGTTTCTAGTGGAAAGCAAGTCAGTCAGGGTTATCTACAGCTATTTATAAAAACGAGAGGGTATATATAGTCAGTATATATGCGAGTGAGCTTATGATTTATGTAACTTAACAATACATTTTATATCTCGTTTAATATCGGTAATATATTCTCTATAATATATTCAATTTTATCTCTTTCCATTTTTTATTTACATCTGTTTCATTTTTTCTACTCCCACAACACTAGCCGTAATATAGAGAGAGAGAGAGAGTGAGTAAGCGCGGGGAAGGGGCGTTTCGTAGTCAATAAAATTTAATTTATTCCTTCTGGCTGCAATAATGATCCGATCCGATTCAGACTCAGCATTTTGGTGGATGTGGACAGATATGGTCAAATTGTGATGTCACAAGAGTCTGGAATCAAACTTTGTTCTAGATCTTATGCTCTCAGAGAACTGGGGACCAAACAACACAGACAGACGGACAGACAGACATAGCGATATCGACCCACCTTTTAATGCTGATCAAGAATATATATACTTTATGGGGTCGGAAACGCTTCCTTCTGGGCGTTACACACTCCTCTATACTCATTTAGTACCGGGTATAATCACACCCATCATTTTTCTATGCTTTTCTATTAGCAATCGGGGGGTCATATACCTACAATAATTAACAATAATTTTTACTGAGTTTTTGTATTTTTATGGACAGGGTTCCACAGAGTTTTCTTAAATCTTTAAAAAATTATATTTTTAAATATTTTAAAAATTGTAAAAAGCTTACCGTCTTTGGAATATATTTATTTTCGAATAGGCGTCGCATAGTGGCTCGTTTTCCGAAATCTCGTTGCAAAAATTTGATTCTGTGTTGTTCAATTTGGCACAACTTTTGTTACACTTTAATTCGGAATTGATCAAGCTATTCAAAGAACAAAATTTCATAGTTTATAAAAATGTTTTAACATATATAATTTACAATTTTTCTGTCTTATAAAATATGGAGAAAAATGTACTTAAAAGAGAAAAGTTAAATGCATGCTTCTTAAAAAATACTTGAGCTAAATTAACATTATTTATACCTTGTTTTAAAACACAAATTCATAATATGAAAAAGGAGGAACCAGTTTTTGTGCACATACTCGTATTTCTATTTTGTTTGTATTTGTATTTTGTTTTAATAATTGTACAAAAGATACAAAACTACATTTGAGTGTCGTTAGATTTTATTTTTATTTAGCTTAACGCCTATTTTAGAGCACTACCTGATTTAGAGCCCCGACCATTTTAACCTTTCTTCCAAAAATTGCGATAGATATATCTGACTGTTAGTCTGATGACTGATAGACTGATACTAACGTAGTTCAAGAAAAAGAGACACTGTATAAATATATGGCCAAAAGGCAAAGCTGCAGACGTTTGAACAAAGATCCCAACAACATCTGGTAGTATTTTGGGTTTATGAAAAAGGGTAGTATGACGAGGAAAGTAAGAACTACATTGAGGCAGAGTTACCGAATGGAGACGTAAGTTGATCAAGTTTTAAAAAGTTATAAAAGTGCTTTAGCGGAGTCTTGTGTAATTCAGATAATCTAATCCAAATCAAATGAATCTAATGTATTGCCAAATAGCAGCGATCTATCCGCAAGGGTATCGCCTTCTGACCGTTAAGATAGTTATAGGCCTTCAGCCTAGCCTTAGTTACTCGAGTATCCTGACATATATATCAATATGATTGTGAAATTTTGCAGAGCTAGCTCCTGGTAATGTAAGTGACTCCTCAGACGACAGTAGCACGCCAAAATTTGCAACTGATGACCTTGCTATGGATGAAAAGGCTAGCTCTAAGGATCAAGCAGCAATACGACACTCATCTATGGTATGCACTAATAAGCAGCGCCGATCCCGTACCAATTTTACGCTCGATCAGCTCAACGAACTGGAGCGACTCTTTGAAGAAACACACTACCCTGATGCCTTTATGCGAGAGGAATTAAGTCAGCGATTGGGGCTTAGCGAGGCTAGAGTGCAGGTAATTATTTAAGCATTGGTCATAAATTTTCTGCGAAATGACATGACCCGGAAAATGTCCAAAAACAACCCCGCTTAGCACCCTGAACACAAATTGATTCTCAATTTATATCTTCATTATACTTGTACTAATGACAAAAAGACAAATTGTCTGTTCTAAGCAATTGCAAAAGCATGAACACAATGTATTGCGCTGGATTTTTCAACCACCACAGCTTCCTCGAGATATGGGGTCTTATGGGGTGTTAAGTGGTTTTTGCTACCCTTCGTCATAAGTACGGCAAGCAAGAAAATTGTTTCAGCATCAGGGGGCCGATTAAAGGTTAAATACTCAATCAGGTCTGCTGGCAGCGTGGGGTTTTCACTTGTTTAGGAAAATCCACTCGGAAAGATTTCCATTCATGACATGACACCCCAATTGTAATAAAAGCCACACATACTTTTAAACACTTTTAAACTGGTAAATGAATATATTACATTGTGTACAGATTTTGTTCCCGGTTTTTCTACAAAAGTAAGTCATAAGCGGTACAACCGGTATGTAACATATACAATATATTCCTGTACTACTTCTATCGCCCTTCCTCCTAACTACCAGTATAGTAATCTTGCTGATTTCAAACCGCACTGTCCGTTACATCTATCACTCTCCCACTCTTTCTCTGTGAACCGAATCGAAATACTATTTGAGCGTGATTTCTACCACACTCCACTAGGGGGGTAACGCTAGACAAGGAGAAGGAGAGCGAGTGCTAGGCCAGAGCACTCAGACATAAGTGTTTTTTTTCTTCACTTTGGCTATCATGCCAATACACGCTTCGTATTCGATCGTATTTATGGTGCCTGGTAGTTATGATTATTGTCTATAATTGTGCCTTTTCGGTTTTCGATGTTTCGAAAGCTTTCAGTTACTCCAGCTCATAGATTGTCTGTAAACAACACATGGCTGTATCGAATCGAATATTGATGCTAATCAAGAATATGCAGATTTTACAAGATACAAGAAAACTGTTATTCTGGATATTCAAGGTGCATTAAGAACTCCTAAAAATAATGAATCGAACTCGTATTAGATGAAATTATTAGACGAAATCCACCTTAACATAAACAATTCCTTTACCGGCAATAGATTAGTTAACATACCTCTCAGCGTCGATGAAGTAATTAGATCTGTTAGGACTTGATCAACGAGCGTAAGGAAATCTCAAAACTAAAGCAGGCTTTTTCGCTTTAATTTACTTCATCTCCTTCTGTGATACTCTACATACATATGTATGTACATTTACACAATACACTTGTTTCGTACACAAAAAAATACACAACTGCACTTTATAACCACTTTATATTATATAATTGACATTTCGTTATATCTTCATTATTAACACCACAATACACTTCTCTGTTGAACTATTCTGAAAAATAACACTTCATGGAATGCACCTTTCTAATGTAATTTGTAAAAAACACCTTGCAAGACAACTACATATAACAAAACATCGATTACCACGATTACGTCAACCAATCAATCAGTCAATCCCAAGAGATGTTACAACAACAACCAGCCGTGCTTCGGGTGATACTATTGTACTATCGTAAGTGGTCAATGCAGAGTTGCAACGCAATCGTCTTGCCACCACTCAGTTCCCTCCAAAAAGGATCAAGAAAAGACACTTCCGGCTGTGACGTACATACATATATAAATGAGCATAGATGTAGACAACTTAAATTGTACTCTGTGCTTACCGGGAATTAAAACCATGGCGGCGGATTTTTTTTAAGAAAGCCCTTTTTCAAATGTTGTTCTAATTTCATTCGAATGTACAAAAGAAACATTTGGAGCCGTGAATAGCTTTTATTCCACACTAAATATTGTTTTCGACAACAAACAAGAACTTTTCGAGAAATTAAAGAAATTTGTAATATTATTCATAAAAATGAATAGAGAATTTAACTAATCAGATATAGTCTAGCTTCAAGACATTTCGACCCGCACCTGTGAACAAATTGACAAGTCTATTTTTTGTATTGGTAAAAAGTTTTCCGTTGTCTGAAAATGTTTTGAATGTTTTTGTCAAATGGCTGTTTTCGTCTCGATTTTAGTGATCGATGCATTTAATGTTTAATTTAACGACTAGTATGTGTATAAAATCGAAACAAGTGGAAAAATTATACTTTTGATAAATTTATAAGTTTAAAAAATTTAAAAAGTGCTAATTTCAAGAAAATATTACTGCAAATCAAAGCTTAATATAAATTGGTAATACATACATACATACATACAAGGGTATAGAAGTAATAAATTATATCGCCATTTTTATTCACTTACTTTCAGGTTTGGTTTCAAAACAGACGAGCAAAATGCAGAAAACATGAAAGTCAAATTCATAAAGGTAAGCTTAAAAGAATTTTTGGAAAAAAATAAATAACGGTCGGTTTCTGGGCTTCGAACCAAACTTTTTCTGATATATTTGGGGCTTTAAAATTTTTAACAAACTAATGTTTCTTTCTATGGTAAGGGTTTTGAATTTATTATTTATTTATTTCAAAAAGATGTCCTTTATTTTTTTAGCTAGTGCTTCCTTTTTCACGTAACTTAAGTATCCTAAATCTAGTTGTACTGAACTTTGCAATTCTGAAAAGCTAATCTAGCTTCAGCTTACCAATACACCATTACAAATATTGACATTTTTTGTATTAAAAAAAAGGTTGTATTCCTAGAAAAATAATAACGACACTGAGCCAGAGATACCAAACGGTACATAACTGGCATGAAATCCTATCGAGCGGTTTTTAATGGGAAAATTCGACTCTTGAAGGTTTGGTGAAACGGCTGAACAATGGAATTTGATCCATAGATTTCTACAACCGATACCTTAAACGACGCCTAATTAATAAACCTATTGAAAAACAACAATAAAGCATAGGCAATAATTCATTTCGAATTTTCCTAAATTTTTAAAGTCAAACTTTTGAAACACAAAAAAAAAAACGGAAAAACTGCATTTATCAGCTTTTCAGAATTGCAAAGTTCAATACAAATAAATAAATACAATAAATACTTAAGTTATGTAAATAAAAGAAGCACTTCCTCTTAAAAAACATTAAACAAAAATAAAAAAATCACACCATCAAACAACCTATTACACATAAAAAGCCACACATCAATCAAAAAAGTTCGATTTTGCTGCCTAGTGTAAATTGTTGGTACTACTTTTGCACCAGCTGTTTTTGTTTACTTTCGTTCGTGAAGCGGAAGCGGCTTTCCGAAAATATTCCTGCACACATAGCTGTTAACACCAAGTCGAGAAGCCGGCCCTTAGAGGGTGGAAGCTTACAAAATACTTTCCGACTTTCGCTTTATGTAGGGGTTACAAATTATATATTTTAATTGGGTAATGTTTGCTGGTTTTAATGATTAGAGCTGCACAAATTGAAACAATACGGCTGTACAGTTTTATAACTCCGGCAAAGAGACTTTGCTAACTGAATGAGCTAAACTAATTTTTTTTTTTTCAATATAGTTTTAAAATATATACTATGGTTTTTTCTGGAAAAGGGTTTTTTTGGAAATTAAAAAAAAATTATTTTTGAATGCTTTTAGAGCTGCTGCGTTTTTCATATAACTTAATCTATTAGCAAAAGTCGGTTTGGTTTGTGGAAAAAAAGTGGCGTTGCATAGTGTTATAAGAGCAAGAGCAATCGGATTTTGTGTGCACACTCCTGTATTATCACACTGAACCCGTTTGTTTCACGATATACCAGTTTCAATCTCACTTGTAGACAGCTGGGGTGGAGTGAAAGAGAACTGGTCCACTTCCGTTGAGTAAAAGCTGGAAACAAAACTCACCCTTTAGTGATAAGTCAAAGTTTACACAAAGGTTTGTAGAAAATTTGGGGATACACATGTAGCACTACGATATCAGAGTAGTCTGCACACAAAAATCGGGGTTTCTCCGATTATAGTCTCTGAGATCTATTAACTGGTCAAGACCAAAACATTATTAAGCTTATTATTAATACAATACCATAGGCAATCGTATTATCTAATACGATATACAAAATAAAAAGGATTTTTTGTGTCTTGAATTATTAAACTTGTCATATGTGCATAATATATACATTTGCAAGTTGTTTTTTAACGCAAAAACTAAACGCTGGCATCCTTTTTTTTATATACTTGGGGCTCTTAAATTTTGCAATTGAATTGTGGTTTTTGTTTTAATTATGGGTTCTGTTTTAATTGAAATTTATTTAAGCTCTCTATGAACGGCTAAAATCCATTTTATTGCACAGTTTTTAAAACATACTCCGCCAAAAAATGCAATCTTATTTATAATGAACAATTTTTTGTATCACAAATTATATCGATTTGTAGGCCTAATAATTACAGCATAGGAGCTTTATTCTTAGTTTTACAAGAAGATGTAATTTGTTCATAAAAATATTGATCAACAAATTGAAATGGTTTCTCAGTTCTGGAAAAGCTTCGCAATTATTTATTATTTGTCGTTTCCTTCATCCCTCGTTCCAATGTTTGTAGCCCATTCATGAACTCCTAGGCTAAGCCAATTGTTTCTGTATTCTGCTTTTTACTGGAATATTTAATTTGATTAAGCTAGCAGGGATTTGTGTCGCTGTAAAAAAAAGTGTATATACTGCCGAAGGGAATTCTATTTGTGCTAACAAAAATTGAGCAGATGTAGCTGCATGACGGATTGAACTCTAATTTTCAGAGCAAACACATTGGCACATTGGGCCAGACAGCCGAAAAATTAAGTTGAAAGTGTCGATTGTAATTAAGAAATGAGATAATTTTCAGAGCAATCCGACTACGTCCACCTCTACCGCCCATATAAGGCCTAGCTTTTAGTAGCTGTTTTTGTTAAATACTACATTATTATTAAAGTGATATTTATTTACCTTATTTATGCCTATTTAAGACAATAGACATTAAAAATGCATATACTTAAAATTTTTTATATTTCTACCGCATTCTAAGATCATTATTTTTTACTTATTAGATCTTTTGCATCCTTAAGCTTCACTTCACTGAAGTGTGGAACTATATTTGAACTATTTTGATTTTCCAAAAATATATATGCCTAATATATATTGTATGTGGGCATCATTTTTAAAGGAGAAAATATTGAAAGAAAACATGATTATAAAATTGCCGGGAAAGTGATATTTTTCTTATTTTAAAAGGTTTTTAGATAACAGTGAATGACATTATATGTATTCCAATTGGTTAGTTTGCTGAGTTTCAATCAATTTAGAAAATAATATCGGCCCAAGAGTATATGGTTTTAATGGCTTTTAATACAACCATACTACCAAAAACATTTTTATGTAAAGAGAGAAAGAATTCAGAAAACTTACCAAATGTAAATGTTGGAAAAATTAAAAAAAAAAAACAGGAAAAAATTGATTACAGCATCTAGTAGCAGATTTTTTATAGTCAGTGCAGAAAAAACACAGATTGCATAAACAATACGTTACCTGAGCAGAGGTCCCTAGACAGTAATTTGTAAAAGCTTTCATGTATTAGAAAAACGGAACACGTCCCTGTGGTTGTGAGACGCAACCCTCGTAAAGGGGCGGTTACCATGTAATAAATTACCAAATTACTCGGCCCCGAGTCTCGCAACGATTCAAACGAATGCTGGGTATTTTAAATGGATACTACTTCATCGTGTTGATATCCACCCTCATGAATCATTTAGTTTATTTCTCCATTTAATGTAAGCATAACTAAAAGTGCCATAAGGAAAATTGGTAAAAAGAAACCAAATTTATGTTTTTGTATACAAATAGATTTGATTAAACCAAAATTGGACAAACAAAAATTGTTTGTTTTATTTGTTCAATCGGACACCCCGGTAATCTGTTCCTTAATTTATTATTTACAGGTCGCTACAATAAAAAGAAATTTAAATTTGTTTATTAAATACTAGGGGCTAGCTTGCTTAAGCACTTGCTTTTTGTATATTTTTCACACTTTCTTCCCTCTGCAGAGACCCAATTTTCCCACATCGATATGTTTGTGGAGCTACTCTGCTGTTTCAGCAGAATGTCCTCTAATAATATACATCCAGTCTAAACGTTGTGATTCACGGTACTAATACCCAGCACTTAGTTAGTATACATTTAAAGTGTTTTCTTTCGTTTAATCTAATAAATTGAAATAGCTTAAGGCACTTTAGAAGACGGAAGGCACGACAGATCTCTTCCTCCCCAACTTTAAGTAATTAGCGGTTAAATTATTCCATCTCATGTTTTTTAGATTTTTTAAATTTCGCACCATGAAACCACATAAACAGAAGTGCAAGAAGTAAGCGTTTCCAACCCCATAAAGTGTATATGTACATATATCTATATATACAGAATCAATAGACGAGTCGATTGAGACCGACTTCCGTCCGTCTGTCTGTTCCTATGAGCGACTAGTGCTCAGAGACTTTAAGAGCTAGTCTTATAGTCTACTGTACTTAGACTTTATTTATTTTATGCATCTTCACTTTCAAAAAAGTGACTAACCACAAGTAATCAAATCGTATTTTAATTTATTTGTACACTTAGTTAGTTAATTTTATTAATTTTATACGCCCATATAAAAAATATGTCTGTGGCTGCAAACAAGCTCTCTCAGTTAATAGACGGCGGTCTATATCCGCCTTGTACAAGACGTAGAGGATTGGTCCGAGAATGCTGCCTTGGGGCACTCCAGTTTCGATTATGTGATCATGTGAGGTGCTTGGGTTACACCACACGGTAAAGAATCTTTTGTAACATACGACTCGAGAAGTATTTGTTATTTGGGCGACGAATACAATAACGCCGTACAATATTCCCATTCTTCAAATACAGTACGTATCTCTGACGTAAAGCGTCTGCTCAATCGTTTCGTGCTTTTCTCAAAAAGCTTTCAGATGTGTTTAACCGCACACATGGGCTATGATAATATTTCTATTATAATTTTCGGAGGCATTAGGTCAAAGCCAGGAGATTTTCTCAACCGAAATTCGATGGTACTTGTAAAGTGTCAATTAGTGGCAGGGTCATGCTGGAAAACATTTTGTAAGTAGCTCTTTCCTCGGCACTGCGGGATCAGCTGCGTTGGGACTCCGTAATCTCGTGACTGTTTCTATTGGAGCGCTTATGTTTCGAAGGGCCCTGCACAGGCTATTCTTTGTGCGGGTTGGTGACAGTGTATCTATGTAGCGGCGTTGGGTCTCTTCTTCTTTTTCTAGAGACTTAGTGACTGCCATTCAATTACCAGATTATTTCTGCCTTGATTCCAGCAGTCGATGTCTTTTTCAGTGGTTATCTGCGGTTCGGTCAATGTGTAAACTTGTTTTTCTTGTCTTAATGCCATTTGGTTCTGTGCGTTAGGAGCCTGTAAGGATGCTCCACGAACTCCGGGCATTGGAGACGACATAGTAGAACATGCGACTGATCGGATGATAGGTCCGAAAGCGTATACGGCTTTTCAACCCTTCTAACTGCACAGCCTCTATAGTTCGCTGTGTGGTTTTCTCCGCAGTGTCCACTTTTTTTGGTATTGGAACTTTCTTTGTTAGCAGTACAGTTAGATCCATTTCGTTTTTGTCTTTAACCCCTGATACACTTGATAGACCTACATAATGGCGGACGCAGCTCCAGCCCGTGGTGGATTCCGTGGCGGTTTTGGAGCTCGTGAGGGTCGTGGTGTACGCGGTCGTGGCCGTGGACGCGGCGCCCGTGGACGTGGTGGCAAGGAGGACTCCAAGGAGTGGGTTCCAGTCACCAAGCTAGGTCGCCTGGTGCGCGAAGGCAAGATCAAGTCCCTGGAGGAGATCTACCTGTACTCGTTGCCCATTAAAGAGTTCGAGATCATCGACTTCTTCCTGGGCTCGGCTCTGCGCGATGAGGTGCTGAAGATCATGCCTGTGCAGAAGCAGACCCGTGCAGGTCAGCGTACCCGCTTCAAGGCCTTCGTTGCCATCGGTGACAACAACGGTCACATCGGCTTGGGCGTCAAGTGCAGCAAGGAATTTGCCACCGCCATTCGTGGCGCCATCATCCTCGCTAAGCTGTCCGTCGTGCCCGTGCATCGTGGCTACTGGGGCAACAAGATCGGCAAGCCCCACACCGTGCCCTGCAAGGTTACTGGCAAGTGCGGCTCCGTCTCAGTGCGTCTGATTCCCGCTCCCCGCGGTACTGGCATTGTCTCGGCTCCCGTCCCCAACAAGCTCCTTACCATGGCTGGTATTGAGGATTGCTACACCTCGGCCCGTGGCTCGACCGGCACCCTGGGTAACTTCGCAAAGGCCACCTACGCTGCTATTGCCAATACCTACGCTTACCTCACTCCAGACTTGTGGAGATGCCTCTGGGCTCCACTCCCTACCAGGCATACTCTGACTTCTTGTCCAAGCACACAGTCCGTCTGCACGCTGATGCCTAGACTCGACAAAACAGAGCGAACCAATGGTTTTGAATAAACTTGAAGAACATATGAAGCTTCTTGTCGAAGATGTAACTTTAATCTGAATAACAACCTAAACAAGTTTTTTTTTTACCACACATATATTTCAAAGGAATCGCATTACGCAGTCGAAGCCCTTCACTCACGACTCCTATGGAACCCTGCCGCATGCCTCCATATGTAAGTTTGGCGACCATACAAAACACAATAGTTGCATCGATCCCTGTGACTGCGACCTCTACAAATCCACAATCAGTGAGAAATAAAAACAATAGCAAAAATGTTACTGTAGATCCGACATATACCACAGCAATATCACATTCAGGGACTAAGAATATATCCAGCACCGTCGCCGCAGCGTTTTCAGCATTTGATCCAGCCCTTATTTCGGTGGCCGCTCATCAGGTATATGACATCATAGTTTTAAGTATGATCACAAATTTGGTATATCATGTATATGTGTATTTCAGTATGCTGCTGCAATAACCAATGGAAGTGGACTCTTCTCGGTGCCACAGTATTCAATAAATTTGGCTGCATTTGCCGCAGCTCACAGCAAACGTTCAAGTATCGCAGATTTAAGAATGAAAGCCAAAAAACACTCTGAATCATTGGGGTTTGAAACTGATATGGTTCTTTAGTAAACACCATACACATATGTATATATTTGGAATAGAAGATGTAAAATACTTTCAATAGTATCCATGTTAAAATACCATTAATAAATAAAATATATTATATTATATATAATAAAACAAGTTTAGTTTTTTCCAGAGTAGAATATTTTTACGAATTAAGCCTAGACAATAATGAAAAAAGGATTACAAACGGAGAGGTCCAATACTGGAGACATCCCGGCAATGACCAGTGCCGCATCGTCCGACATGATCCGGAAACCGCAGCACACTCGCAGAGCTCCCAGTCGGTGCGTTGCACCTCCTTTCCTGTAGGACTTGGCTCTCGCCGCCTCGGCCCAGATTGGTGCTGCATACATGACTGACTGGATAAAAAGTCTGCGACCTTATTTGGATTCCCTCGTATTTAGCATCATAAGTGAAATTGCGCAACCTAAGTCGCTTGGCTTTTGCCTCGAGGTGCTTACGGAAGGAGAGGCGAGTGACTTGCTCGAGAAGATTTAATGTCGTCGGAGCCGTCTCGGAAGGTCGCTACGTCGACATTCTTGCGGCTGGATATAAGAACCACGTCCGTCTTTAATTCAGCCAAGCTTAGGTCCACGGAATCGGCTATGAACCAATATTTTAACTTTGAAAACTCGGGAAAGGTAAAAAAAAATTTTCCTTCGGGAGTTTGAATTGTGGTGGTGTAGGTTAATTAACGTTGCGTCGTTTAAGGTATCGTTTGTTAAAATCGAAGTATAAACGGTTAAGCTGCAGCCTTTTGTCCAAACCTCTAAGTGACGCATTTCACAGTTCAACTTTGAGTTTGGGCAGGAAAAGGTTCTTCGCTCAGTTGAAAGTTCACCCATCATTTGGTTTTTGCAATTTCTCTTTATAGATAATGCATAGCTTGCAGGAGCTCACCACACCCTTTATAAGCCTCTGAACATTTGAAATCCAATAATTGGAACGAATAAGTCTATCCATTCATTGGTTTTCACCGTTAAACGTTATCCGGCGTGTGATTTGCGCAAGAAGGCGAGACATCCGATAACTAAGTTGATCTTAATTATTTGATCAGGTCGCTTCAGGTTCGGAAAAAACTTGACCTTGGCACTGTTTATAACTTTACTTAGGAAGTGATACTCCTTAGGGTATTGCGCCGAGTCTCTTGGATGAGTTATTTTTAAGCCTCGGTAATTTCTAAGGAAGAACTGCTCGCTTGGTAAGTTCTAATACGACTAAGACGTTAACTCTAGAGGAACGAAGAAATACTTGGCTGAAGTCGCTTTCAAGCGAATCCCGAGGGAATTGACCGTGCTCTCTTCATCCATTCTGAATTCTGGCCAAAATAGTTGGAAGTTCACTCCCTCTGCGGAAAACCTGCAGGACTAAGTGCAGAACTAATTTTCATTCTGGCGACTGTCTACGATAAGGCATTTCATCGTGTGCACTCAGTCCTCTATCAGCTCGTGCGTGAGGGTATCGGTCCAAGGCTCTATGACTTTATGACCATCGTACCTTCAGGATCCGATTATAAATAACTCCTCTTGCAGCCCACAAATTTTATTCAGCGAAATACCCTCTCGGTCCTTCTATTCATGATGGCATTCTATTTTCACCAGGCACAAAGAAGTCCACGTGTCATTACATGCCATCATTCGTATCGAAATCTCTGTGTCCTAGGATCCTAAAAAGATATAGCTGCGATCCATTAAGAGACCTGCGGCAGTCGTTTTCGGTTACAGAGTTCGACGATGTTGATCCTAGAGCTTCGATCGCCGCCTGACCTCCTGCTCTTTCCTCCTCTTTCAACACACGTACGAGCGCCCCATACTATGGTATAAAATAGTTCTGGGTTCTGGAAATTTTATTTTGGCGGGAGCTGCGCAGTAGCTAGAGTAGCTATGCGGGAATACATGGGGCTTTCCCCATGTACATATAAAGGTTCTTTCAGTAAATAAAATGATAAATATTTTATCTTTTAGTAATAAATCTTATATTTAAACTTTTATTTCTAAAAACTTGTTTGCATACACCGATTCTCCTGCTTTTGCATGAAATTATTTTCTATTTTTGTTATTCTGGGCAAGTAGTCTGTTCCCTTGTCCTGAAGCGCCTACTCGCAGAGCGTTATTTCCAGAACCTCCACTTAATTGCCCGCTGCGATTTCCAAAATTATTTCGGTTGCCGCTACGCGCCGTGCGTTGATTTGCTGAGTTTGCAACACGATTTTTGTTAAGCTCTGTTCTGTTTCGCGATTTGGATTGTGCATCTTCTTTAACCATATCGATTACCTCATCAGGTATACGCAAATATTTAATGGTACTTCCGCGAATATAACATTCCGGCATACGCCAAAAACGGTCGCCATCCTGAAAAAAGGAAAACAAATATAAATTAACGACCTCTAGATGGTGAACAGCATTCGTAGACAGCATATTTTTAGCGGAGATATTAAATTTAAGTATTGAACACGGCTCCTCTTGTACACAGTGGTTCAAAAAATGGTGTCAACAATTATCATCAAAGATCACAAACAATAGTTATGAGTTAAATGAGTCAGGATTATAGAAAAAATATTTGTTCAAGAGGTATCCTGGAACAGTTTAAGCCTTTACTACAGATTTCTGCAATTAAATTGTTTTTCGTAGTCTAGTAATGAAGAGTAGTCAGTAACTCAACAAGCACCCACCCCGTTAATGTCGAGGCAGAGCGGCGAAGCAAAAAAGCGAAGGCTAATACCCAACGAAGGGCTATTTCGATAGCTTAAAAATAAGTCTACACCCAAGGCAAAGAACACCACTATTTTACAAGAAGGCTCCAACCCCTTCCGAACAAAAGAGTAAGTTGGAACAGACTGGTCGGCCATCTCCCAGGTGGAGTAATACGTAAATACCGAGATAATTGATGGCAGTCGTCTTCATCTGAAAGACGGCCGGATAAACCGCATCTTATTTATACATTACAGACCAATCAGCTAATCAACGTTTTGCATAAAATAATGAATTGAGTACTGGATTTATATACCAGAAAAATGAACAAGAAACAACTGCTTAACACGCTCAAGAGTAGATCCAATCAGACCGCACGACACGATATATTTTAAAAGCCAGTTAGCATAAGGAATCGTGGCTGCCCACCTTTGCTCAACATTGAGGGAATCTTCAACAACGTGGGAATCGATTCAATCACGGCCGCACTGTCCAGTTGACAACTGATTTTTTTTCTCATACTGAACATGGCCATATCTCTGGATGAGAAAAGAGAAAGTGCCGAATTTTGACTAAATTCCTGCTTGTATACAAATTAATGTACAAGTTTTTTTTAATATTATTAAGTGAGCCGTAACTTTTGTAGTAAACTGAAACTTTACAACTAAGAGAATTGTTTGTTTACCTTTGAAGTGCAAATTACGTCACGTAGATTGATATTCATCCAAGAGTCACAGCTCACCAAGTGTCCATTATAAGTCTCTCCATTTTTCAGTTCAACCAACTATGTATATGTATATAAAAATATTTGATTAGAATGAGGCAACAAATGTACAACTTGCGCATCCTTGCGTAGGCTGAGACCGTCATGTTTCTTACCATAGGATGGCTCTGCGCGGTTTTCAAAAGTGACAGCGGCAACTAAAACATACAAATACAGTTAAATGGAAGTACATTACACTCATTTCTTTACAATTACCATATTTTTAAAGCAGAAATAATACCGACTAGTAAAACTGGAGAACCATCGATGCCAACATCGATTGCAACGGTGCTTGAGTCATCGATGGTTTTTTTTATATCGTTTTCCCAAACAGCACCAAACAGGAACGGTGGAATTTTTTGAAAGATGTGAAACATCGATTCCCCTTGGCACCATTCTCATCGTCAAAAAATCTGCTGATGACTACATAACGAGACTCCTTGGAATCCCTTAAAAATTTCAGCACCTCTGTTTGGAAGTTGGTTTAGTGGTGGTTTCACATAGATGCGCTGATAGACCTCAAATGTGCTGTGTATTCTAAAGTATTAAAGTATTCTAATATTTCCATTAGACGAATATTCATTCGAAAGCGGCGCAACTTTTTGCCTTCACTATAACCCTTACCTTTACCTATGACGCATATACAGTATAAGCAACGTTTAAATCTTCAACATCTCATTAAGCGTAAGCAAATATCTATTCTATTTGCTTAAATAGTTTTGATACATAATTTTGAACGATATTCTAAGTACACGCTAGATTGCTATCAATGCTTTTTATTCAGAGAAGTTGCGTTGTGTAATACGTAAGTGAAACAAATTAAATTTGAGGTAACGGCCAGATGACTTTGATCTCTCTCAGAATACCGCAACCAGCCTGAGTATGACAATTCCTTAGAAGAAACATTCCTTCTCGTTCGTTCCTAAAAATACCAAACTTTTCGTTCATTGCTATAAACTGTCGAATGTAATATTTATTAAGGTATAATCGATTGTGTTTCACACATCAATGGTTAAACATTTCGATAAACGTTTTCTGCAAGTAAACAATTATATTGAGGACGTTTTATACTTTTAATATAATGGCTGCCGAGATTAAACCAGCTCAGCGGAGCTGTAACGATCGTTTTAACACGTCAAAGAAACCGGAGTTGCTTAGTAAACTGGATGGTAGCGCGGATGATGTTAACGCTGCAATTTTAATACCAGGAGAAAATGGAGTGATAAGCGTCTCAGATGACAAGTGCGAATATCCGATATATAATATCAAAGAAAAATTAGTTTTTATTCATGATTACTTATTTTTCAGAACTATTCGTGTATGGCTCAAACGAGATTCTGGGCAGTATTGGCCAAGTATTTGCCAATATATGCCTTCTGGATGCACGGCCGTAGAGTATTTCCAAGAATTCCGTCAGTTGTACGTTGGTCAAGAAAATGGAACAGTGACTCAATACATGCTCTCTGAAGACTGCAACCGTTTATCTTTCATACGGGATTATCTGTCGCATCAGGCTCGAGTCGTCGCAGTTGTATTTACCCAAACTCACAATTGGATTTTATCTGCCGGAAAGGATAAGCAGTTCGCTTACCATTGTACTAAAAGTGGTAAACGAGTGGGCGGATATAATTTTGAGACACCATGTACTGCACTTCAGTAAGTATAAAGCTGGTTTTTGAGCGATGCAGTGGCTTTATGTGCATCATAGATATCTGTGAGTCTGCACGCTTTTTGTTCACGCTGCAGAAATTTCAGAACAGAATTCAATTGTGTTTTCTCACAAGTAATGACTCATGGTTATGATTTGTGCAGCATATTCATTTAGAACGTAAACATTGGCATGTATGCATGAGTGAGATAGAGATTGTTTCTTCACACGCCCACATGCTGCAAGGCAGAGCCACTGCATCGTTTAAAAGCAGATTAATTCTTATCAAATTATATGTATGTTCTTAATATATATTTAAGAATAATTAAAGCTATAAGCTTTTTATTAATATTAATACCTAAGATGACGAATTTAAGTATTAGCACGGCTTAAAGTTTGCTGCTGATTTACATTTATTACATTAAAAAGGTCTTAAATAGTCGAACAAAGGGTAAAATTGTCACACTTAGCTTTTAGTGAGCTATATAATTATAGTAATTTGTCGATTTTTCCAGTGGCCTTTTATTTAATCACGATGGTCCAATGTCCAATGCATTCCAATGGTCGCAAAATCGTTCAAATTTAGATTGGATCATTATTATAGTCAGAAGGAACAAATAAATTTTTCAGTCTCTACGCTACGCCCCCGTTCAAAGTAAATATATTCTTGACCAGCATCAAAAGCCGAGCCGATAAAGCCATGTGTGTCTGTCCGTCCCAAATTTTGTATCCAGACTGCTGTGATATTGTATATATATATATTTTTTTTTTTTTTCAGAGGTTGTGCGTCTTTTTTTAATATTTTTTACTACTATTATTATTAGGGAACAATTTGAAGCTTTCTTTTTTTTTGTATTAAAAAAAAACATTTAAAAATAAAAAACAAAAATGTTTATTTAAAAAGAATTCTATGATTTACATTAGACGTATTTACATGTATGAAAAAACACGAAGAAGATATCTTTTTGACTTTCGACGATATTACTTTGACCTACTTTGCATTGTAAGTCGTAAACTGCGGGAGGCGGCGTTTGAAATTGATTCGACAGTTGCCAGAGACGTGACCGCATCGCGTGCATTTATTAAATGAACAGTAAACGGCTTCTTTTCTTGGATTTCTACAACTTTTCAACTATATGTCAATTTACTCCATCCAATAGGACTTAAAAGAACTTCTATAATGTGCAGTCTGCATGCTTTCTTTCAAATTTTTTAAAATTATATTGCAACTTTTTCAGCTCGTCGGCAAACGATAGAGAAAGTTTTTACTTTTTGCTGCTTAAATTCCCTTATTGTGCTCAGAAAAAGTGCATAAATTAGTAAATAGGCAAAATTTTTGTCAATCTTTAGTAATTAAATTACTTAAATATTTTTTTAGGTTTGATGCACTGGCAAAATATGCCTTTATTGGCGACCATGCTGGTCAAATAACAATGCTTCGATGCGATGTGCAAGGGGTACAACTTATCACTACATTTAAAGGCCATACTGGTAAGTAACTGTCAGTTAAATAAACTCATACAAATATATTGCAGAGCTCAATTTAAACCCTCCCTTTTAGCCGAAATTCGATGTTTGAGGTGGGTAGAAGGTCCACAGCTACTCTTTAGCGGTGCATGCGACCAGTCAGTGATAGTTTGGGATGTCGGTGGAAAACGAGGCACCATATACGAATTGCAAGGACATAGGTACAAGTAGCTTAATTTTATTAATGTGACACGTATACATACATAACTTTTACCAATTTTCTAGTAACAAAGTTTCGGCCCTTGCTTATGCTAATCAAACTCAACAATTAATAAGCTGTGGGGAAGATTCAGTGGTAGTTTTTTGGGAAATGAATGCAATGCGGAAAGAAGTTCCAGGATGGGTCGATTCAAACAACTGTCAGCTATGTTCACGGCCTTTTTTTTGGAATTTCCGCTCAATGATGGACCAAAAACAACTAGGTATACGTATATCTAAACGTTTACAAACCATTTTTTATTAAAAAAACGTTTTTATCTAACCGAAAGGAATTCGACAGCATCATTGCCGACATTGCGGTAAAGCTGTATGCGATAATTGCTCGACTAATCGCATTAATATACCAATAATGGGCTTTGAGTTTGATGTGCGGTGCTGTGATCCTTGTTACAAACAACTTCAAACCGTAGATCGACCTTCCTTGGCTTCATTTAATGATGTAAAACACTCAATCGTTCATATGGATCTTGATGAGGACCGGAAACTTCTTTTAACGGTTGGCCAAGATAGACTAATAAAAGTATGGGATCTTTCTAATATTTGGGCATAATATATGCATATATAATAAATAATATAAATTGTATGTAATGCTGTAATGTAAATTGACCAAAAGTATAATAATTACCAAGGATTCAAAAAATAATCCACATCGTAAGAGTTTATCGATATTAGCCAATTACAATTGATACGCGTTCAATTACGTTGGCTGTTAGTACAAGTGTATTGGTTCATTGTTGCAAAATAATGGCTGCGTAACATAGTTAAGCGAAATTGGGGTTAACCCGGCCCTATGGAATAAGCGGGATAATTAAAAATATATAATAACATATGGAGTGACTTACAAAACTCTACACGTGCTAAACTTCACTTGGGACGGCTTTTGACGACTTTAAAAAGCGTTGGAAATGAAATACCTGTGCATTAGGATTATAGTTGTATTATGGCAATCAAATCTGGTCCAAACGCGGATGTTTTCCACAGTCAGGCTTCTCTCATTCTGAGTGCGGAAAGTGTTCCTACACGGTATTCAGGGCTTCACCTGGGGTAGTGCATTGCCCGCCAGTAGCGCATAGCTCAGCCATGCGTTGAGCTCGCCTTAGTTAGTTACGATAAGTTTTCTTTTTAGTGTTACAACCACTCTATAGAGGATGATTGGTAAAGCCACCAAGCTACATACGGAAACATATAGAATGCTATTGCACCATTATCCGCATATGCCACCACGCGGCAAGATCGATATGATTGGTGGGTCTTCCCTTCCGCTAGGCCTGCTGGGAATCAGATAGTAGACTGGGAGGAATGATTGCTATGAGGTGCAGCCCCAAAAGCCGTTCCATCGTGTTCAGAGGGAAGGGAAGGCCGACCATTTGGGAAGGTGTCGAACGGTATTTATAGGTACAATGCGGCACTAGAAGGTTTGGTCAAACGGCTTCATCTTAGTCGTTTATCTATAGATTTTTACAAATGGTACCTTGAACGACGCATAATTAATGTACCTATACAAAATACAAAGAGAGTTACAACAATAAATTTGTTTGTACTTTTCCTGAGTTTCTAAAATATAGAATGCTATTGCACCATTATCCACATACGGCACCATGCGGCAAGATCGATGTGATTGGTGGGTCTTCCCTTCCGCTAGGCCTGCTGGGAATCAGATAGTAGACTGGGAGGAATGATTGCTATGAGGTGCAGCCCCAAAAGCCGTTCCATCGTGTTCAGAGGGAAGGGAAGGCCGACCATTTGGGAAGGTGTCGAACGGTATTTATAGGTACAATGCGGCACTAGAAGGTTTGGTCAAACGGCTTCTTCTTAGTCGTTTATCTATAGATTTTTACAAATGGTACCTTGAACGACGCATAATTAATGTACCTATACAAAATACAAAGAGAGTTACAACAATAAATTTGTTTGTACTTTTCCTGAGTTTCTAAAATATAGAATGCTATCGCACCATTATTCACATACGGCACCATGCGGCAAGATCGATGTGATTGGTGGGTCTTCCCTTCCGCTAGGCCTGCTGGGAATCAGATAGTAGACTGGGAGGAATGATTGCTATGAGGTGCAGCCCCAAAAGCCGTTCCATCGTGTTCAGAGGGAAGGGAAGGCCGACCATTTGGGAAGGTGTCGAACGGTATTTATAGGTACAATGCGGCACTAGAAGGTTTGGTCAAACGGCTTCATCTTAGTCGTTTATCTATAGATTTTTACAAATGGTACCTTGAACGACGCATAATTAATGTACCTATACAAAATACAAAGAAAGTTACAACAATAAATTTGTTTGTACTTTTCCTGAGTTTCTAAAATATAGAATGCTATTGCACCATTATCCACATAGGGCACCATGCGGCAAGATCGATTTGATTGGTGGGTCTTCCGTGCCTCTAGGCATGCTGGGAATCAGAAAGTAGACTGGGAGGAATGATTGCTAAGAGGTGCAGCCCCAAAAGGCGTTCCGTCGTGTTCAGAGCGAAGTAAGAGCCGACCTTTTGGGATGGTGTCGAACGGTATTTATATGAAAAATGCGGCACTAGAAGGTTTGGTCAAACGGCTTCTTCTTAGTCGTTTATCTATAGATTTTTACAAATGGTACCTTGAACGACGCATAATTAATGTACCTATACAAAATACAAAGAGAGTTACAACAATAAATTTGTTTGTACTTTTCCTGAGTTTCTAAAATATAGAATGCTATTGCACCATTATCCACATAGGGCACCATGCGGCAAGATCGATTTGATTGGTGGGTCTTCCGTGCCTCTAGGCATGCTGGGAATCAGAAAGTAGACTGGGAGGAATGATTGCTAAGAGGTGCAGCCCCAAAAGGCGTTCCGTCGTGTTCAGAGCGAAGTAAGAGCCGACCATTTGGGATGGTGTCGAACGGTATTTATAGGTAAAATGCGGCATGAGGTTTGGTCAAACGGCTTCATCTTAGTCGTTTATCTATAGATTTTTACAAATGGTACCTTGAACGACGCATAATTAATGTACCTATACAAAATACAAAGAGAGTTACAACAATAAATTTGTTTGTACTTTTCCTGAGTTTCTAAAATATAGAATGCTATTGCACCATTATCCACATACGGCACCATGCGGCAAGATCGATTTGATTGGTGGGTCTTCCCTTCCGCTAGGCCTGCTGGGAATCAGATAGTAGACTGGGAGGAATGATTGCTATGAGGTGCAGCCCCAAAAGCCGTTCCGTCGTGTTCAGAGGGAAGGAAAGCCGACCATTTGGGAAGGTGTCGAACGGTATTTATAGGTACAATGCGGCACTAGAAGGTTTGGTCAAACGGCTTCATCTTAGTCGTTTATCTATAGATTTTTACAAATGGTACCTTGAACGACGCATAATTAATGTACCTATACAAAATACAAAGAGAGTTACAACAATAAATTTGTTTGTACTTTTCCTGAGTTTCTAAAATATAGAATGCTATTGCACCATTATACTCATACGCCACCACGCGGCAATATCGATATGATTGGTGGGTCTTCCGTTCCGCTAGGCATGCTGGGAGTCAGATAGTAGACTGGGAGGAATGATTGCTATGAGGTGCAGCCCCAAAAGGCGTTCCGTCGTGTTCAGAGGGAAGGGAAGGCCGACCATTTGGGATGGTGTCGAACGGTATTTATAGGTAAAATGCGGCACTAGAAGGTTTGGTCAAACGGCTTCATCTTAGTCGTTTATCTATAGATTTTTACAAATGGTACCTTGAACGACGCATAATTAATGTACCTATACAAAATACAAAGAGAGTTACAACAATAAATTTGTTTGTACTTTTCCTGAGTTTCTAAAATATAGAATGCTATTGCACCATTATCCACATACGGCACCATGCGGCAAGATCGATGTGATTGGTGGGTCTTCCCTTCCGCTAGGCCTGCTGGGAATCAGATAGTAGACTGGGAGGAATGATTGCTATGAGGTGCAGCCCCAAAAGCCGTTCCATCGTGTTCAGAGGGAAGGGAAGGCCGACCATTTGGGAAGGTGTCGAACGGTATTTATAGGTACAATGCGGCACTAGAAGGTTTGGTCAAACGGCTTCATCTTAGTCGTTTATCTATAGATTTTTACAAATGGTACCTTGAACGACGCATAATTAATGTACCTATACAAAATACAAAGAGAGTTACAACAATAAATTTGTTTGTACTTTTCCTGAGTTTCTAAAATATAGAATGCTATTGCACCATTATCCACATACGGCACCATGCGGCAAGATCGATTTGATTGGTGGGTCTTCCCTTCCGCTAGGCCTGCTGGGAATCAGATAGTAGACTGGGAGGAATGATTGCTATGAGGTGCAGCCCCAAAAGCCGTTCCGTCGTGTTCAGAGGGAAGGGAAGGCCGACCATTTGGGAAGGTGTCGAACGGTATTTATAGGTACAATGCGGCACTAGAAGGTTTGGTCAAACGGCTTCATCTTAGTCGTTTATCTATAGATTTTTACAAATGGTACCTTGAACGACGCATAATTAATGTACCTATACAAAATACAAAGAGAGTTACAACAATAAATTTGTTTGTACTTTTCCTGAGTTTCTAAAATATAGAATGCTATTGCACCATTATCCACATACGGCACCATGCGGCAAGATCAATGTGATTGGTGGGTCTTTTTTTTTTTTTTTTTTTTTTTTTATGTGAAAATACTTTTATTTCAGAGGTTTAAGGTTTAAATCGTGGCCTTTACGAAGCGTTTGCCAAGCATAACAGAAAATTTAATGTATGTCGAGCGCCTTCTATATATCCATTGCATTTAAACGCACAGTTTTGGTTCCTTGGGTCCATCCATTCCACTTCACTCACGCATCGCGCTTCATTATCATATTGTAAATCAAGCGAAAGGTAACATTACAGGAGAATGCCCAGACGGGCACCGAAATGGCATTGTACACGCCAGTGGGAAAACTCAGGAGGCCCGTAAATGGCGCCAGGCTGATGCGCAAGTCGATGACTATCACGGGTGTGCTGCGATTCAGGATGCTGACAACGATAAGGATCAGGGCCAACAGTACTTTGGATACGTAATATGCCACCGTATCGATTCCCATCTCCTTGAAGGCGTCTATATTTTTGGCCGACTTGAATTTGGCCTCTGCATCGGCGACTTTCCGTTCCGCGCGCAGAGTTTTAATGGCCTTGACGTACTCCCCCGAATGTTCCGCATTGCGCACATTTTCCAACTCCTCCCGGGCAGCATCTATCTCGGATTGCCACAGCCGTCCGTCCGCTCGGCTAGTCTTCCAAAAACGTGACACTTTCAGGTAGTTCCGTATGAAATCTGGCAGGATCGTGTTGATAAGACTCAGCAGGGCTATAAGTGGTAAAAGTTCCATCGCTTTGTGTCAGATTATGGCCAATGATGGTGAGTTTTAGTGACCAAATTAAAATATATGTCTGAAAATAACAATGTAGTTTTAGCTGTGTTGTCTTCCCTTCCGCTAGGCCTGCTGGGAATCAGATAGTAGACTGGGAGGAATGATTGCTATGAGGTGCAGCCCCAAAAGCCGTTCCATCGTGTTCAGAGGGAAGGGAAGGCCAACCATTTGGGAAGGTGTCGAACGGTATTTATAGGTACAATGCGGCACTAGAAGGTTTGGTCAAACGGCTTCATCTTAGTCGTTTATCTATAGATTTTTACAAATGGTACCTTGAACGACGCATAATTAATGTACCTATACAAAATACAAAGAGAGTTACAACAATAAATTTGTTTGTACTTTTCCTGAGTTTCTAAAATATAGAATGCTATTGCACCATTATCCACATACGGCACCATGCGGCAAGATCGATGTGATTGGTGGGTCTTCCCTTCCGCTAGGCCTGCTGGGAATCAGATAGTAGACTGGGAGGAATGATTGCTAAGAGGTGCAGCCCCAAAAGCCGTTCCATCGTGTTCAGAGAGAAGGGAAGGCCGACCATTTGGGAAGGTGTCGAACGGTATTTATAGGTAAAATGCGGCACTAGAAGGTTTGGTCAAACGGCTTCATCCTAGTCGTTTATCTATAGATTTTTACAAATGGTACCTTGAACGACGCATAATTAATGTACCTATACAAAATACAAAGAGAGTTACAACAATAAATTTGTTTGTACTTTTCCTGAGTTTCTAAAATATAGAATGCTATTGCACCATTATCCACATACGGCACCATGCGGCAAGATCGATGTGATTGGTGGGTCTTCCCTTCCGCTAGGCCTGCTGGGAATCAGATAGTAGACTGGGAGGAATGATTGCTATGAGGTGCCGCCCCAAAAGCCGTTCCGTCGTGTTCAGAGGGAAGGGAAGGCCGACCATTTGGGAAGGTGTCGAACGGTATTTATATGAAAAATGCGGCACTAGAAGGTTTGGTCAAACGGCTTCATCTTAGTCGTTTATCTATAGATTTTTACAAATGGTACCTTGAACGATGCATAATTAATGTACCTATACAAAATACAAAGAGAGTTTAAGCAATAAATTGTTTGTACTTTTCCTGAGTTTCTAAAATATAGAATGCTATTGCACCATTATACTCATACGCCACCACGCGGCAATATCGATATGATTGGTGGGTCTTCCGTTCCGCTAGGCATGCTGGGAATCAGATAGTAGACTGGGAGGAATGATTGCTATGAGGTGCAGCCCCAAAAGGCGTTCCGTCGTGTTCAGAGGGAAGGGAAGGCCGACCATTTGGGATGGTGTCGAACGGTATTTATAGGTAAAATGCGGCACTAGAAGGTTTGGTCAAACGGCGTCATCTTAGTCGTTTATCTATAGATTTTTAAAAATGGTACCTTGAACGACGCATAATTAATGTACCAATACAAAATACAAAGAGAGTTACAACAATAAATTTGTTTGTACTTTTCCTGAGTTTCTAAAATATAGAATGCTATTGCACCATTATACTCATACGCCACCACGCGGCAAGATCGATGTGATTGGTGGGTCTTCCCTTCCGCTAGGCCTGCTGGGAATCAGATAGTAGACTGGGAGGAATGATTGCTATGAGGTGCAGCCCCAAAAGCCGTTCCATCGTGTTCAGAGGGAAGGGAAGGCCGACCATTTGGGAAGGTGTCGAACGGTATTTATAGGTACAATGCGGCACTAGAAGGTTTGGTCAAACGGCTTCATCTTAGTCGTTTATCTATAGATTTTTACAAATGGTACCTTGAACGACGCATAATTAATGTACCTATACAAAATACAAAGAGAGTTACAACAATAAATTTGTTTGTACTTTTCCTGAGTTTCTAAAATATAGAATGCTATTGCACCATTATCCACATACGGCACCATGCGGCAAGATCAATGTGATTGGTGGGTCTTTTTTTTTTTTTTTTTTTTTTTTTATGTGAAAATACTTTTATTTCAGAGGTTTAAGGTTTAAATCGTGGCCTTTACGAAGCGTTTGCCAAGCATAACAGAAAATTTAATGTATGTCGAGCGCCTTCTATATATCCATTGCATTTAAACGCACAGTTTTGGTTCCTTGGGTCCATCCATTCCACTTCACTCACGCATCGCGCTTCATTATCATATTGTAAATCAAGCGAAAGGTAACATTACAGGAGAATGCCCAGACGGGCACCGAAATGGCATTGTACACGCCAGTGGGAAAACTCAGGAGGCCCGTAAATGGCGCCAGGCTGATGCGCAAGTCGATGACTATCACGGGTGTGCTGCGATTCAGGATGCTGACAACGATAAGGATCAGGGCCAACAGTACTTTGGATACGTAATATGCCACCGTATCGATTCCCATCTCCTTGAAGGCGTCTATATTTTTGGCCGACTTGAATTTGGCCTCTGCATCGGCGACTTTCCGTTCCGCGCGCAGAGTTTTAATGGCCTTGACGTACTCCCCCGAATGTTCCGCATTGCGCACATTTTCCAACTCCTCCCGGGCAGCATCTATCTCGGATTGCCACAGCCGTCCGTCCGCTCGGCTAGTCTTCCAAAAACGTGACACTTTCAGGTAGTTCCGTATGAAATCTGGCAGGATCGTGTTGATAAGACTCAGCAGGGCTATAAGTGGTAAAAGTTCCATCGCTTTGTGTCAGATTATGGCCAATGATGGTGAGTTTTAGTGACCAAATTAAAATATATGTCTGAAAATAACAATGTAGTTTTAGCTGTGTTGTCTTCCCTTCCGCTAGGCCTGCTGGGAATCAGATAGTAGACTGGGATGAATGATTGCTATGAGGTGCAGCCCCAAAAGCCGTTCCATCGTGTTCAGAGGAAAGGGAAGGCCGACCATTTGGGAAGGTGTCGAACGGTATTTATAGGTACAATGCGGCACTAGAAGGTTTGGTCAAACGGCTTCATCTTAGTCGTTTATCTATAGATTTTTACAAATGGTACCTTGAACGACGCATAATTAATGTACCTATACAAAATACAAAGAGAGTTACAACAATAAATTTGTTTGTACTTTTCCTGAGTTTCTAAAATATAGAATGCTATTGCACCATTATCCACATACGGCACCATGCGGCAAGATCGATTTGATTGGTGGGTCTTCCCTTCCGCTAGGCCTGCTGGGAATCAGATAGTAGACTGGGAGGAATGATTGCTATGAGGTGCAGCCCCAAAAGCCGTTCCGTCGTGTTCAGAGGGAAGTGAAGGCCGACCATTTGGGAAGGTGTCGAACGGTATTTATAGGTACAATGCGGCACTAGAAGGTTTGGTCAAACGGCTTCATCTTAGTCGTTTATCTATAGATTTTTACAAATGGTACCTTGAACGACGCATAATTAATGTACCTATACAAAATACAAAGAGAGTTACAACAATAAATTTGTTTGTACTTTTCCTGAGTTTCTAAAATATAGAATGCTATTGCACCATTATCCACATACGGCACCATGCGGCAAGATCGATTTGATTGGTGGGTCTTCCCTTCCGCTAGGCCTGCTGGGAATCAGATAGTGGACTGGGAGGAATGATTGCTATGAGGTGCAGCCCCAAAAGGCGTTCCGTCGTGTTCAGAGGGAAGGGAAGGCCGACCATTTGGGATGGTGTCGAACGGTATTTATAGGTAAAATGCGGCACTAGAAGGTTTGGTCAAACGGCTTCATCTTAGTCGTTTATCTATAGATTTTTACAAATGGTACCTTGAACGACGCATAATTAATGTACCAATACAAAATACAAAGAGAGTTACAACAATAAATTTGTTTGTACTTTTCCTGAGTTTCTAAAATATAGAATGCTATTGCACCATTATCCACATACGGCACCATGCGGCAAGATCGATTTGATTGGTGGGTCTTCCGTGCCTCTAGGCATGCTGGGAATCAGATAGTAGACTGGGAGGAATGATTGCTATGAGGTGCAGCCCCAAAAGGCGTTCCGTCGTGTTCAGAGCGAAGTAAGAGCCGACCATTTGGGATGGTGTCGAACGGTATTTATATGAAAAATGCGGCACTAGAAGGTTTGGTCAAACGGCTTCTTCTTAGTCGTTTATCTATAGATTTTTACAAATGGTACCTTGAACGACGCATAATTAATGTACCTATACAAAATACAAAGAGAGTTACAACAATAAATTTGTTTGTACTTTTCCTGAGTTTCTAAAATATAGAATGCTATTGCACCATTATCCACATACGGCACCATGCGGCAAGATCGATTTGATTGGTGGGTCTTCCGTGCCTCTAGGCATGCTGGGAATCAGATAGTAGACTGGGAGGAAAGATTGCTATGAGGTGCAGCCCCAAAAGGAGTTCCGTCGTGTTCAGAGCGAAGTAAGAGCCGACCTTTTGGGATGGTGTCGAACGGTATTTATATGAAAAATGCGGCACTAGAAGGTTTGGTCAAACGGCTTCTTCTTAGTCGTTTATCTATAGATTTTTACAAATGGTACCTTGAACGACGCATAATTAATGTACCTATACAAAATACAAAGAGAGTTACAACAATAAATTTGTTTGTACTTTTCCTGAGTTTCTAAAATATAGAATGCTATTGCACCATTATCCACATAGGGCACCATGCGGCAAGATCGATTTGATTGGTGGGTCTTCCGTGCCTCTAGGCATGCTGGGAATCAGAAAGTAGACTGGGAGGAATGATTGCTAAGAGGTGCAGCCCCAAAAGGCGTTCCGTCGTGTTCAGAGCGAAGTAAGAGCCGACCATTTGGGATGGTGTCGAACGGTATTTATAGGTAAAATGCGGCATGAGGTTTGGTCAAACGGCTTCATCTTAGTCGTTTATCTATACATTTTTACAAATGGTACCTTGAACGACGCATAATTAATGTACCTATACAAAATACAAAGAGAGTTACAACAATAAATTTGTTTGTACTTTTCCTGAGTTTCAAAAATGTAGAATGCTATTGCACCATTATCCACATACGGCACCATGCGGCAAGATCGATTTAATTGGTGGGTCTTCCCTTCCGCTAGGCATGCTGGGA